GGGATTTGTGCTTGCGTTCAAATCATCAAATGTGGGAACACGCAGACTATGCAAAATTGCCTAGTCTATCACTTAAGAGAAAAAACGATCAATAAAAGTGAAGATTTCTCTGCAAGAAATTGCAAGATGTCAGGAATAAACAAAAGAAGCGAAATACGACTCCGCTGATGAGATCAGTTGCCACAAAAATTGTTACTACTCAATTCCAGGGTTAACACATTTTAATTGGCTCATCACAGTTTACGGTTCATTGACTCGTTTAAAAAACTTACGTTTTTGTGCACTGGATAACTCATTCATGTTTTAAGTCTTTAAAATAATTTTCTTTGCAAAATTCAGATAAAGTAGAAGTCTTAAATTTGGTGTAAAAAATAATTTTGGACAAAATAGGCCCTTGAATGTCTACAGTAACCTTAAAGAAGACATTTTGAATGTTGACACTTGAAAGCTCAGAGATGTTGATTTCACTTGAAAAAAACACAAAAAAGTTGATTTCATGTCAACAGCTGACCACAAAGACACTTTTTTCACCTTAAAAACAGTCAAATGTAGATTTCACAAAATGCTGGTTTTATGAGGCTCCCAAGGTTAGGGTTCTGTCCCCTGATCCCATAAGTTAGAAACACTACAAATCATGCCAATTTGAAATAAAAGTGCTGTTATGATCGATCACAACTTGTTGGCCAGTATCTGTGGTACTCCCTGTGTCAATAACTATGTAAAATCCACTTCAACTTACTAATATTGCTGTTTACCAGGCTTCTAAAGCCACAAAACGTCCACTGCACTTGAGCACAATGCATGCTGGGAAGGTTCTCTACAACTCACGTGCGGGAAACATGGCGGTCGATGCAAGACTTATTTCAGTCTAAAATCAGTGCACACTTTCGAAACTTTGACAACGGCAACATTTGGCAAATGGGTCACAACTCACAAGTGGATTGTTTTCTTGGGCAAGAACTGCTCTTGAACTTTGCTGCCTGACTTCAAATGCCAATACCTCGATTGTATCAGTTTGTTCGAACATCAGAGAGCACATTTTGGTTCTTTTAAATGTCCTGATGATTTATGGGTTTATCAACGCTTTATGATGCCTCTCAACCACCAGGCAGGCAGTCATGCAAGGTACTTTAAAAGAACACTTCAATAGTTAGTTGACAGAGCTCTAAAGCATCGCATCTAATTTCTGTTTGACAGTATTTCCTTTGACGCCCAATAGATTTCAAGCGTGTGTTTCACGTCACAATAACCGATGTAAACAATGTTTCCTAGATTCCCACTTTGTATGCTATTATCCGACATACATTGAGGAAGACAGCTAACTGATACTGTGGGATTTGATTTTGACTTCCAATGCTATAAACAGAAGCTACATTAAATTTTACACATCACATTGACATAAGACACTGCCTTCATTGCTACAGAGAAAGCTATCTTGATCCAGGCAGATTTTCTTCCAACAATGTGCAAACAAGGAAAAAAGTCCAGGTCAATGTTTAAAATATAATTTGAAGTCAATTTATGAATGAGGCCCTTCATTTGAGATAGTCTGTCTGTTTCCTGTTCAACAAATTAACTCCTAAAGACACGGCTAGGAAAAGCCAAGATTTTTGCATATGTTACAACTCAAAACTGAAGCAAAAACCAACGACAAAAATACACAATATTCTTCTATTACATTGAAGACCATATGCAAAAATTTAGGCACTTTTGAGAAAACATTTTTTTCACCCAAATCCCCGCTTAGCATGGTTTTGCACTCACCCCTTCAATGAAAATCTGCAAAATTAATATTTCATTGGTAGTTGGTGGATATTTGAAGGGGTGCATTGAAAAAGACCCTAAGTGACATCTGATAGACTGCAAGATTCTCCTAGCAAATTTCTTTTCACTTCCTTATTCAGAAAAGAGGATTTGTCATGAGATCAGGAGTCATTTAGGGCTTTTTTCCATGCACCCCTTCATTTGATTACATTAATCAAGAATTGTTAATCAGTTTGCTTACCTGGATTACTGCTACACACTGATTGCAGAAGTCATGAACCACTTGGTTTTCACTTAAAATCTCATCTGGAAAACAAGATTAATATCGGTGTTTAGTTGCCACGAAGACAACATCTCTTCAATGTTTTCCAGCTGGATACAAACTTTGCATTTCAAGCAGTTTACACATACTAATGCAAGTAAATTTAAAGGGAGCACATTCCCAACACAGAGGCATATCAAATATTTATGTCACTGCCATCTTCCCATGTATGTAAAAGTAGGGAAGGTTTTCTTGGCGGGGGTTCCTAGCACCACAAAGATGACAATGGAGCAGAGTTTGTTTAATCTACCACTTGAACGCATACAACGTACAAGAGAATTTTGATTTCATCATCTCAAATAAAATTTATTTCTTGCTCATTTCCAATCTCTTTTCTCTTTTAAGGAGGTTGGTGCAAAAATTTTCCAACCTTGATTTTTTTCTGAGACTTTTACCACTGTAAGATGATGAGTAAGTTATATCAGAAATGTAAAAAAATGGGGGGTCACCAACTTTATTTCGGAGAGAACATGCCCAGAAGAACACCCCAAATCTGAAAAAATCGCGTTTTGTTAGCGATCAAGGTCACAGTGTCTGTAAGCCCAAAAATATTGCAATTAGATCTCTGAAGTAAAATGTTCTCTGCCAAATATTGTTTAAGTGAACCTACTAAGTGAATTTAGTCAGCTGGTGATGTTCCTTAAGCTGGCCCAAAACAATTTTCTGTTATTTTGAGACTTATAAAACTAGGTGCGATTTTTCAGGCTTGGAACTGTACTGTTTTGAATGGCTGTGCTATTTTTTTAAGGTAACTCTCCACTGTTCCTTTCATTGTGTTGAAGTCATAAATTAACATAACACTGTCTTGTCGCATAGCAACAAACTTGACCCACTTAAAAACTAAGCTGGTGAAAAAACTTAAAAACTTAAAAACTAAGCTGGTGACCCCTTATTTTTTGATAAAAATCTTTTTATCACATACAGAAGAAGAAACAGGGAAAATTTGAAAAAAATTCTCCAGAGCAGGTTTTGCTTAAATTAAAAAAATGGAAATTTCTTAGTTGGAAAAATAATATTCCACTCCACAGTTTTTTTCACAATTTCGCACATGCATTCTACTTTTGCTGTTGAATAAGTTTTTGCATTAAAAAAGTAGGGTCACCAGATCAGTTTTTGAGATATTAGCTTTGTGAATAAGGAATTTTTCATGTGCGTTCTAAGGGCAAATTAAAATCTCGACTTTATAAGATCGCACTTTGCGCACGCTTGAAGGCCGTCCACTGATCAGTAAAGCCCGCAATTCCACACGAATAAATGCGAATAGTCCACGAATAGTGTTTTCTTTTTCATTGTTGTGGTTAGCAGTATAAGCGGTAAAAAATGAGTACCATAAATACCCAGAGGTGACACTAGCCAAGTACAAAGAAAAAGAAAACCTGAAGAGTAGTATTTTCCTGCTGTTTTTTAGATTGATAGCTGGTGTGATGGATCGCAACATCAACATCACAATTGCTGTTTATGTTCCAGCACAGCGGTTTAAAGGGATGTTTTCCTTTGAAATTGCCTGAAGGATGGATGTTTTTGAAGTTAAAAATAACTGAAACTTGGCGGATAACAAAGTTTTACGAAGTAGGCCTCGTGCCGCCATGTTTGTTTTGATTTTCGTAAACTTTAAACTTCGCGCACTATCTTGCAAACCCCTGCATGATGCCTCGTGCTGAAGTGCACACTAGAAATATTACACAGAAATCACAGAAATATTACTGTTATGAGCCACCTTAAAGGACAAGTTTGCATTTAGCGACCATAGTTTCACACATGGCAGGATTCGATGTCCCGCAGACAGAAATCTAGATTTTTTTTTAAACTTCCCACATTGATTTTTTGTTCAAATTATTGTGGACAACGTGGAGATAATTGTAAATAAAATCTGTTTCTGAAAAGAAAAGTAGGGGTCACCGAACGTCCAAAGATCGTTAAATCCAAGCAAAGCTAAAGCAATGGCCATCTGCCCTATCTTGTTCATTTCATTACTTAGTGCACGCTCACGCATGACGTGGTATGTGAATTTGCATGCGCAGTAAGGATGCGCAGAAACAATTAGCGCAAACATCCTTAAGGAGTTGAACACATTTTTCACACGCACTTTTGCTGATGCAATTCAGCACATGCATAAGAATTGCAAAAACAAACATGCCGTCAATAAAGCGAGCATTTTATTTAGTCAACACCTGCAGTATCTGTGCTATTTTTCTCTATAATTGAACACAATGTATTGATGGTTTTAGTCTTTTATTACAAAGATATGTTAGAAAAGGTAACAATGCAAAGAACCCAGCAATTCTCAGCTTTTTCTTTGTTAGTGCAAGAACCCAGTTAAATGCAGCACATGCATAGTTAGTCAAAAAATTGTGATTAAATGAAAAATTGCACTCTCCGAAATATGCCTATTTCTTGAGAACCACTCATCAGAATTTCATAAAATTTGGCACGAAAATACTTTAGGAAATAAGTACCTAGAGTATTGAAAATAATTGAGCTTTAACAAAGGAAATTCTAGATATTCCAATGAACCTTCAACAAGGCATAATTAAAGATCTCTGTTAAATTATTAGCAAAATGGTGTTAACTTGTGAGAATTGTTACAAGCTTGTTGCAGGCAAAGAGCCCTTTTCATGGTTAATTTTTCTGGTTTGCATTACAATGTAATTCAACGTGGATGTGAGGCAATTTCGGGCTAAAACTACAAAATAGCCCCAAATTGCCTCGCATACATGCTAGATTTTATTGTAATGCAAATGAGCAAAGGTAACCGTGAAAAGGGCTACTGCAAAGAAAATCTAATGACTAGATTTTCTACAAATAAACAAAAC